GCGATAAAAGAAGACCTCAAGGAGAGAAGAGCAGCAGTATTGGTGGAAGCCGCAGAGGCTGGGAAGAGCATACGCAACGCCCGCCGCGACTTCGCCAACTGTAAGACCAAGATGACCGCCCTCCGGCGTCCGGATGGAACAATCACACCGCATCCAGAGAGGGCAATGGAGAAGGTCATCCACGACTTCTACTCGGATCTCTTTGACAGCCACGTCCACCTGCAACCATACCGCTTGGAGCAGGATGGATATGTCGTTCCTGCAGTTCTCCCTTCCGAAGTCCGACACGCCATCTCGTCGGTAGGATGAAGATATGCGTAACGGGCAACCCGGTCCCGGACAGGATCAGACCGCCGAACATGACTGAAGATCTTTCCAGCCCATTCTCGTCAAAAGACTGCCTGGCTCGACTCTTCACGCGCTACCTGTCGGAATGCAAGGTACCCACCTCGTGGAAAACCAGCAAGACTGTGTTGCTGTACAAGAAGGGAGACCTGTACGACATTGGCAATTATCGCCCAATCTGCCTGCTGTCTGTAGTCTACAAACTCTTCACACGAGTCATCCTGAATAGGATTGGCAGAACACTAGACGAAGGACAGCCATGCGAGCAAGCAGGGTTTCGAAGAGGATTCAGCACGACATCGATCACATGCCAACGACGGTAACCGAAGCTTCATCGAAGTAGCCGCGAGAGTTACAAGATGCCAACTAGTCTCACGTTCATCCTCGAATTTGAAGAAGGCCTTCGACTCCGTTGAGACAGAAGCGGTTATCGAAGCCCTGGGCAACCAGGGTATTCCTACTCAGTACATCAGGATTCTTCGAGAGCTCTACAGCAACTTCACGACCAAGATTTCACCATTCTACAAGGAGATCATCATTGATGTGAAGAGAGGGGTCCGACGGCGACACCATCTCGCCCAAGCTCTTCAGCGCCTCTCTCGAGAACGTCATGCGTCAACTGGAATGGGAAGACATGGGAGTGAAGATCGACGGTCGGCAACTACACCATCTCCGCTTTGCTGACGGACATCGTTGTAGATAACCTGGCGCCCCAAACATGGGCGAGCAAGCGGAACGAATGCTGGCTGAATTCGACTGCGCGTGTGGAAGAATCGGTCTACGGCTGAACCTAACGAAGACGATTTCATGAGAAACGGATTGGTAGCGTGATCCCATTTCACGCTCACGAACGACCATCTCTGAATGCTCTAGCTATGTGTACCTAGGTCGTGAAATCAATATGATGAATGACCTAGCTCCAGAGCTGAGCAGGAAGGAAGCGAGCCCGGGGCGGAGCCCGCAGCCTTCAAGAACATCGAGGGAGTAGCGAAGAAGACGAAGAACACCAAGCTCCGTGCCCACCTCTTCGATTCCGCGGTCCTTCCTGCCTTGACGTACGCCTCAGAGACTTGGACTCTACGAAAGCAGGATGAGCATGCGGTCGGCGTTATTCAACGCGCCATCGAAAGGGCGATGCTCGGAGTTTCCCGCTACACGCAAGTGAGAGGTAGGAAATCCGGAGCTCCGCACTCCGCAATCAAAATACGGATCGAAGATCAGAAGACGCCGCCGCAATTTGGCCAAGGCCTCGAAGATCCACGGTGCTGGTCTGTGACACGTCCATTCGTTTCGAGGCGAACCGCTGAACCAGAGCATTTAACCGACACTGGATTCCACGGGATGTCAAGCGAACGCCTGGACGACCGCCTATGCGATGGTCAGACTTCTTCGTGAAAGCTCTGAACGAACGGTATGAAGTTCATCGTGTCCCTCGAGCTGAGAGTTCATTGGGCAACTCTTGCACGTTGCAGGGACGAATGGAGACGTTACTGGCGCCCGCTCGAGGAACTCGATGATCAACGGGAGCACAGGTGATACAGGTGATACAGTTATTCATGAATTTACTGCTATAATTATTATTATTACTATTATTATGAATACTATTAAATTCCCTCTGAACAAATCAATAAACGCAATGAACCTCAGTATGGTCCCGTCCTTGAGCGGCGCAGAAGTGCATGTCAGCGGTAGCTTCGATAGGGCATCCATCAGTTTTGAAATACATCGATTGCAGCTGAAATTGGCCTGTACCAACAGAGAGCTCAAAATGGTTCAACTTTTAACTTCTACTTTTTTCATCTTACTTCCTGCGTTTGCTCATTGTTTCACAACTTTAGCTTCTAGCCTTCTGATTACATACCCTGCCATGAAGCAGTTATGGATTCTACCTCGAGTGAGCTATTATGGACTGGCATATGGTGAAATTTTCCACCCAAGGATTTTCTGTTATGGTTAAGGAACCAGAAGGAGAAAGCTTCTCGAGGGAGAAGGAGGAATTCAGTACAGGAAGTGGAGGGAAGGGCTTTAAATGGGAGCAGCCATGTATTAAGTTGGTGGGGAGGTTCCGTCACTTTTACTTTTTGTAATTAGGCTTTCTTTCTACAGATGGATGTATATTTGTACAGCAATATTATTGGGGTTGTTGCCAGTTTTTGAGCAGCTTAGGAGCAATGTCTCGGCTTCACCGGTACAAAGGGAGAACCAACAAGCTTTCGTATGAGATTGACCGGCTTTTTTCGGAGGGTGTGGGCTGCACTATCATGTTAATGGCAGACTGTGCGGATTCCCTCTCTGATCGATGACTCGGTTCGAGCTGCTTTGTATAGGGATTGCCGTGGGTGGACACAGCTCATCCAGTAGTTCCACGAGCCGCAGCTTCCTTACGCTGAGTTCCCATGGACCATACATTCCCCACTTTGCCTTCAAACCTGTAGGCTTCCGCTTTGAAGCACTGGCGTCGTGGAAGATTATTCCGAATGCCCTTTTTTTCCTCGATCTGATTCAGCTTTCATGCAGTTGTCAGGGTGGTAGAAGAAATGGTCCGTGGGAGGGGATCGGGGCTCAGTGCTGACTGTACGGAGCTCAATTCCTGTCCATTGCAAAAGAAGAAGGGTAGAGGACAAGTGAGTAGAGACACTATTAGGAAGATTATTAATCTTGGTGTTACTGCCCGCTGCTTATTGATTACACTTCAGACTGTGGGCAAGTATGAGTCCGAAAAAATATGACAGAACTTTTTTCCCCCCAACCAAATTACTGCGATTGCGGATGAAATGCAGGTAAATGAATAGCGCCAATACGCATCGCAGGCCCGTCTCCGCCTGCGTTGAAAAAAATGCAAAAGTAGTGCCGATGCTGACGAACTCGGTCCCAAAAGAAAGGGAGGAGGGACAGAAGAGGATTAAGTACTCATGGCGGGTGTACATGTAGTAGTGAAGAAACTCTGGGGAAGGGTGAAGTAACAGAATCATCAGAGGCCTCGATTTTCCCGGAGAATCACCTTGTACGGGCGGGCAAGATCTTAAAATTCTGAAGGTCAATCGTTCCATGAATATTTACAATGCGGAAATCACGTCGCCCTATAAGCGGCTGTTGAGGGCCCATTGTGGGATATGCCGTTCACCAATACATCGGATAAATGATTGTTGGCATTCGCAGCTGTCTCTCTCGTGTCACCCAACTGGATCTCGCGACCGCAGTCCGGATCCGTTCGGCTCGAATCCAGCCCCATCCCCATCCGAAAGCGAAATCGGAGGCCCTTTCGCTTTCTCGTTGTTTAAGGGGTGATGCTGCCATTCCCACCACTCAAAGGTCCGACGATGTAATTGGGAGGGAGAATTTGGATGGATGAGAAGGAATGGCTCATATCGAATGAATTTAAAACGCTAGGACGGCTCAGTTCCGCGGCGGGGGGGGGGCATTTTGCACTTTTGCTGCTTCGTATCGACCCATCTAGAGAGCCTTTTCTTGGTTGACAGGTTTTACCATGGTGGCTCGACGAGCTTGCTCCAGCTTCACAAGAGTTCACAGGTTTCACCAGAGTGCTTGTAAACCGGAACTAATGCAGAGGTGAAAGTGCGAAACTGGCCCCTTGCCGAACTGCTCCAGCTAGGACTTCTAACTGACCGCATCTCGTGTGTAGGTGTTGAAGTGACACTTGTCAAGACACGCATCCGGCAGTCCTCGTTGCTCGCAACACTCACGGAAAATGTAGTTCGGATTCTGAATAAGAAAGTTTTAGGATAACCTCAACTTACTCTGTCGAAAATTACCCACCGCGAGTTTCTGCAGAGTGGCGTTATCAATGTCCTTCCGAGGCGGACTGGGAGTGTGAACCTTCAACTTTGCCTTTCCCATTCCACGACTCATTCCGTAGATATTTCTTTCCTCAGCAAAGCCTTCCTCGACGTCATTCCTTTCTGGCTGCAGCGTGGATTCCTCTGACTCATCACTGATGAAGATTCCATCCTGAAAGTTAGCTTGGAAATGAGAGACGCTGAACGGGTGTAGTTCGGCGATGGGGGGCAACTTGCACTTTCGATGCTTCCCACTGAGGTGTCGACCCATCTAGAGAGCCTTTTCTCGAGTTGACAGGTTTACCATGGTGGCTGACGAGCTTGCTCCAGCTTCACAAGAGTTCACAGGTTTCACCAGAGTGAGACTTGTAAACGGAACTAGTGAAGCAGCGAAAGTGCAAAATGCCCCCCCCCGTCGCCGAACTACTCTCACTAAACGAAAGCGTAATTGTAAATCTAACGTACTACTTTCTTAGTAAGGGCACTTCTGGCCCGATTCCTTGAACAACCGTACTGTCCACAGCTATAGCCTGGCTGACAAGATGAAGCATGGCAAGGCACTGCTGGAGTTGAGGAACAGTAGCCACCCCCTCCACAAACTCCGGATGTGAGACACTAAAAACACTAACCAATTATCGATTGTTTTTTTGGGGGTGGGGATTTGTTATTGGGCTGGTCCAATATTTCTGCCTCAATGAAACTCATCTGGTTACTAGTTGGCTGCAAACAAACATGGGCTTTGTTGTGGTGGAAAAGCAGCGCTCATTCTGGTCCAGAGGCTTTTATCATTCATAGATCAGAATTACTGGTGAAATCAGGGACAAAAGTTTTGCTTTGTAGTCGCCCAATTTTACAGAAGGGTTCCTTCAATAGGGGGGGGGTGTCATGCAGGTTTAAAAAAAGATATGGAAATATTGAAACTTCTTAGAATTTTTGGTTTTTTTGTCCCAGTGAAGTTATGGGGAGGCCGACATCTACCTAAAGTACTTTTGCCTGCTTGTCGAGACTTACCTGAATAGAAGTACGAACAAGAACACTATATACAAGAATTTCTACAATCATCGGCAGTTGCAGTGAGATCAAGAAAGATGGCCTGGAATTCGTCAGTGTTTGCAAAACTGTCGGGAAACACGTGAAATAGAAAAAGTTGGCATATAGCCGGAAAGAGTTGAGTAACAACCATAGCGGGCCGATCGGAGAGCAATTTATAGTGGCTGCGCAAGAACCGGATGGTTGACGCGGTTGAAACACCGTCGTCGACGACTCGGAGGAGGCTCGAAGTGGAGCTTCAATGACCATTTCACAATTCGGCAACAGTTTTGATGGCCGTCCGAACATCTATGCTAATTTCGCTTTCATTGGGCCGCATTGCTGCTAAAGACGCTGGAGTGAAGAGACGTCTTTGCAAGTCCTGAGTGTCATAGACGAAATGAATAGTAACTCCAACGTTCTTGTGAGAGGGAAAATGAAGCATTGTTCTGAGCATAGATTTATATCCATTGCTCGATGTTAGTCAGATAGGCGGTCAGCAGCCTCTTTCTTTGCAAAATTGTAAAGTTTCTAAACACCTCTCACTGCTAGTGATTAGGATTTAGCCCGTCTGTAACGAGATATGGAGGTAAAACACGCCCTAGAACAGAGTAGCGCTACCAAATGATTCTGGTTCTACCGGATTTCTACCGGGACAACTGCCAACAGCATCTCACTGCTACATCCGAACCTGCCTTTTTGAAGTTAAAAGGACCGAGGTCTTTGAAGACACATTGAACCTGGGGAGCACCTTCTCGCTTTGCTGAGCATGTCCGCAGAAATAGAACTGTAGCAGTACTTTCATTCTATACGAGAGCGCACGGCAAGGAAGGTGGACGGTTGTGATGGCCTCAAGTTTCTGTCTCCTCTCACCACTCGATACGCAATGCCCACGCAACTTTGACGCCAGACGCCTTACGGCCAGACAACACCTGACTATAGCCACATGCCACCTGACTATAATCACACAACTGGTCATATGGCGTGAGTGTCTCGTAATGCTACCTTGTGAAAGAGTGTAAAATAAGCAGAAGGTGACCTCGACCGTAATGGTTAACAAATTGACTAAGGAGGAGTGACGTCCATGATCGAGTCGTGACTGGCACACATCATTTTCCGGAGGTTGTGGTAGCTACCATTTGGAGCTCTACGGATATTCAGCAGAGTCACTCGTTACTTAACATGCCGCAAGACATATGGATGGCCTAGCGGACCTACGGCATAACTGTCTGGCGCCTCAGCCTGTTCCCTACGACTTGACCCACGAAAGACATTCCTTTTGTTTGTTCTCTCTCTCTCTCCTGCGGGACCTCGGCATCGGAAACATGCGCTACCTTGTAGGAGTGTAGCCTCCAACAGCATTCACCTATCACTACGCTGCAGCATTATTTTCGTGCCCTTTCGAGGGGAGAACGTTCGCTTTCACTATTATTTTTACGCTGAGGATCCACTGTTTTCCCCACTAGACCCGGTTCAACTCACAGGTGCAAGCTTGTAATGAACTTAGCACTCTTTTGGTTATTTGTATAGGTAATACTCTAGTACAGTGCTGCCCTGAAGGCTCAGCGTATCTTAGTTTGTTCAAAAATGCACAAATTAGCGACCCATGATATTTATTCTGAAGATTCATAAGCATTTCAGAAGTATCTGATGCTGCTCAACGTAGCAGCCACCATTTGTGAGTAGTGCCATAAACAAGCCTCGAAACGACATACATACACTCCATATCCCGAATATGGGAGGGCGTTGCTGCGTACTTGGTTTAAAAATGGTGATGTCTGCGCTTTAGCTAGGATATTGCCGTTTCGAGATAGTTGCAAGCATATATGATCCAGCCTAAGACAGGGTGATAGTTGCTTCAGATGGAAATATTCTACGAAAAACTAGCCTATACCATCTTCGGATGAAGTACGCAGATACGCCCCTCCCAATCTCCGTGATATGACGTGTATATCTAGGTTTTTTTGAGTGGGTTTGCTAATAAACATTGTTCAAACCAAATTCGTTGCTGATTGAATTAGAGCGTAAATTAACGATGGTGAGTCGAGTCAATAGTCCCAACAGCTTCAGAGATTGTTGGAAAGTTTCCGAGCTCGATTCTTCAACGTATTTTTATGTGAATGTTCCTTGAGAAAAGCCTTTGGTCTGATCCACTGCTTTGGCTGAAGAGTTGAAGAGACACCCTGTACAATAGCAGATTACTGTAAAGTATCAGCCGAACGGAGGTGTTTGCTGCTCGTACCTTTAATTTGATCCAGATAATCCAAGCATTGAACTAATGGTTTGCGAACATTTGATCGGCCATTCGTACTATAGCAGCAATACGGTAGGCATTGCGTTGGCACACCCATGCTCGAACAGCAACTACGATGATCCCAGGGGCGTGGAGTGCATCTTTGCATCATTGGCTGAGCTGAGCATTGACGCTTCGAAGCGTTCAGCGCCATCGTCAGCAACTGAAATTATCATTCAGAATTGAACGTTCACAATTCAAAGTGTACGTGAGGGGAGAGGGATTTAACAAGGGGAGCAACTTAGCTCCAATTGAATAAGTGTTAGATAGATATTAACTAACTAGGTGCAGTAGGGTTGAATATAACGTCTATCCCGAGTCGCGGCGGGTGCGACGAAGGAGGTATACTCGAAATCCCTGAGATCGGGTAGGCGGGGCTGCACACTTAATTTTAAAGTGCCGGCGGCTTAGGTTTTCGTGAGGTATTTCATTTTGGAACAGTCGTAATCATGTCTAAATTTAGCACTCAACAAAGTGGCAGTTGTTTGAAATTGAAATATTCCACGAGTAACCCGTTCTATGCCACGCTCAAAAGCCACGCCTACTCCGTCTCAGGGATAAGGAGTATACATATTGCAAAGCGTGGGGATGCGCATCATTCGCACTAGGACCTAATCACCTAAGCGTAGCGGCGCTCGATTGTCCTTCCGTCTGGGTCTCTTATGTCAAGAGAAAGGCCCCTGGCCGTAGAAAAGACGCTATCTTCTCGCTTTAGCTTATTTGCGCGCGATGCCGCACCTCGGTTGTCTTGAATTACTCCCACTTCGACTTCCCTTTTGACTTCGCCCTCAAGATAACATAAAATGTGGCATCAGTGAAACCATTAGGTAGTAGACGGCGCTAACGTAGATGGGGAAAGGCCCGTAAAGGCACGGTCCGCGATAATTTAAGGCTGAAACCTCTCAAATGTGCACGATGAACAGGATGGCACTCGCAGAGGCTGTACTGTAGGCAAAAGTTGAAAACTAGCAAGCAAGGGCAGGACGCATCGGTTTCAGCCCATTGGCGCCCAACAGGCTCATCCCGGATTCCGGTGGCGTAGTGACAATACCGTTGCGCTCTCTCACCCTGTTTCTGGCCTCTCTTGTCAGTGTATCGTCTCCTTTTGCGATTCGCAATTGATCTTGACAATCTTATGCTCGTCCGGTGATCACGATCATTTGCAATAAAGAGGGTCTTATTGCGGGCTGCCCTTTCGAGCTCTCATCTTTTTCAGTAAGTCATCAAGCAATTCCATATTGGATCGTATTGCGTATAACGTGCGGGTCGCGAGAATTGCTTTTAACCAAGGCTTCGACTTAGTGGGCTACGTCTTCCCTGCAATACTTATTCCAGGCAACTGTGGCCGCCTGCGCACTCAGCCTAGCTCTTGGCTGGAGAAGGGAACAGTGCACGTCGTACGTTGGGGGAACTCAGCGAGTTGGTCATATCTGGTTGACTGGGAAGGGGTCTTATTCGCCATCGAAAAAAATGTTTTCGGTTGTTCAGACTTTTCTCGGTTCCTCCGTTTCACATGCCCTGGACACCCCCAGAATCTGGGAAGACAATAGGCAGTACTGGGGACTGGAAGGGACGTCGTACTGGAGGTGAAGAATTTGGCCGGAAGGGGGGAAGGGGCTTATTTTGCAAAAAAACTGCTCGCTAAGGAGATCAGGGAACACGGCGAGGCGCGACCAAAACACCCCCTCCCTTCGTCCAACCACACTGACGCCCATTAACTCCAGTTTAGCACCAGAAAATAGCTAAAACTCCGTCACTGCCAGCTTTTTTTGCGAAGCCTTACTACCGTCTATCTTTACTACCTCTTTCCAAGCAATAGCTCCATACAGAGTAATTATTATGACGTTTGTTGTTGGTTTTTGTATTGACTGTTGTTTACAGCCCAACCAAGAGGCGGCGTCAATCTGACAGCATTATTATCAAGTCAATGTGACAGTTACATAATCATTAAAAGTGTTCCAAACCGCGTCCAGTTTCGAGGGGTATGAATAGGTTTAGAATGCAGGAGGAGACCAATTCATTGCTTTCGGAAGGGGACGCTTAGTCTTCCGCGATAAACAGGTTCCACTTGAATAGAAGTCGACCACTTGGTCCGAATAAGTCCGTCGATCACTACTTAACCATTTCCAGATTATGCGACTCTCCGAAATGAGTGGCGATATTCAGCCTTGATCGCCGCTAGTTTGACTCGATTTCTGCGCGGTAGCCGTCAAACAATTACAATTTCGGTGAAGTCTGAAGACCTCATTGAATGAAACCGCCAAGGCGAAACTAGGGTTGTCGCACTTTGCTGTCTGAGCTGAGGTCTTCACCTTCTTGCTATGAGAGGGGCATTTTTTGCGTGGGAGAAGTCCCGAAATGCCGATCCTTTGGGCTACATTGTGCAGACCTAATCACCTGATCTTGACCTTGATGTTTCAGAAGTGAGAGAAAACCATCTAGGGATGACTCAGCAGGATCGCAGTCGCTGTCACGCTCGATTGAAGTGCGTGCCACACCCTTCCCATCTCAGTGATACTAAGCGTGAAGCGTCCACGTCCTAAAAAGCGTGACCAGTGGACAGGGGTCGCACTCGTCATGAGCCAAAGTGTCCTTACTACGTATGCCCGACAGGGCACATCGTTGTTGGGGAATCCCCAATAGGGAGGGGGTCGTATTTGGCCGCCAGGAGAGGGGGGGGGTCGTATTTGGGCTGGGAAAAATTTTTGATAGTTGTTCACGACGGTTGTAAAGGGGGAGG